CAAGGGTTATCCAAAAGTCTCCATCCAGGGACAAAATTAAAACCAGTGATCATCTAGCTAAATAATCAATCCAGAGGTACCTGTTAGAGACAAAAGAGGTTTGGGACCAGCAGTTAGCGTAATGGTTATGTCGCTGGACTCCCATGTAGTCGACCGTGGTTCGAGTCCCAGACCCAGTGGCTTAAACTCACGCCGGGTGCGTGTGTGTGCGTGCCCAAGATCCCAAGAGGAGAATGGAGGAGAAGGGATTGTGGCATGACCATCCCCCCTGGGGGGTGATTTCTTGCTTTCTGTCTCCCTGTCTCTCTCTTTCTGGCGCACGTGTGCCCTATAGCAAAAACCTCTCAAAAATAAATCTGACGTTGTTTCGTATAGACTCCTGTAGCCCTCCTCCTGTTAGAGACTGAATTTGGGCATATGACTGAAAAGTCCACTTTACGTTGAATGCTAAAACTTAAGTGAAGCTTGTAATACAGGGGTTGTATCTCCACCCACCCCACCCTACCCCCCAAAAAATAGTAGGAATAACACTACTTTTGTAATCAGGGCTCATATCCCAGATTAGCTGCATGCTATTTACATGACTTGAGCAAATTATCTGAACTTTCCCAGGTTGTTTTCTCATCTAGAAACATAGGTGTGTCCAAAAGTTCGGTCTCATCTTCTATATGTGTTGCTGAAAAGCAGTTGTTTTTAGTGTATTTCCAAGATCTATTTTTGCATTTAAGTGGGGGCCATGTGACAATTCTTGCCATTAGAATGTGAGCAGAAATGATGGGTGTCAATTCTGGGCAAAGACAGTTATGTATCTAGTCTACATTCCCTATACTCTCTTCCCTTTCTACCTTAGAAGTCATGTATTAAAGATATTTATGTTTCAAAATGGATCCCTGAGTCACCACTTGGAGGAGACTTGTTTAAAAGGACATCCAAATTAGAAACTTCTACACCGGAACTGTGTGAACAATAGTAACTCTTACTATGTTAAGTCATTGAAATTTAGGGATTATTTGTTACAACAGTTAGCCTACCCTGAGGTGAATAACTAATTTATAGGTAAGAATTGGATCTATTTCAATTAAACCTCTTCTCCTATTATCATGCAAAAAGATAGCTAGATGAATTTTTTTTCCAAATTTAGAGGGTATATTCAGAATACTTTGATTCCAAACAGAAGCTAAAATTTGTACATAAAATTTGCATAGGTGGATCCTCCACGATACTTCGGAGTTCAACAGTCAGCCTCCAGATGTGAGAGAGACCAGTGTTATGATTCAGGACCATAAGCCATGCATACCAAGATTGGGTGAAAACAAACATTTTAAACAAGGCATTTCTAACAAGATCACCAAATCAAAAGCCACTTAAGGCAAACATTTGAATGTCACAAGATTTCTGATGGAATTGATGGATTGCTTTAAGATATGTAACAGTAGCCAGAGTAATTTTTTAATGATGGTTAATGATTCTCCAAAGCAAGCAAGAGAGACCAGTTAGTGAAAATATTATAAATACAGATACAGATCTCCATATAACTACCACCCAGTTAAGATATAGAACATTTCCAAAACTCTAAGAAATTTCTTTGTGTTTCTAATTAGCCAGTTCTCAGAGATACCACTTTTCTGAGTTCCATAATAATAGACTAGTTTTGCTTCTTCTTGAACTTCATATAAGTGGAGTCTTTGAGTATACATTCTTTTTTTAAGATTTATTTATTTAATTTTATTTGTTGTTATTATTATTATTATTTAACTTTACCAGAGAGAGAGAGAGAGAAAGTGAAAGTGAAAACAAGCCTTCAGATCTGGGATTCGAACCATCGTCGGTCATGTGGAAGCTCAACATCTTAACCACCACACTACCTGCTGCCCCAAGTATACATTTTTTTTTATGTCTGGCTTCTTTCACTCATAATAGTAATTTTAAAATTTATACATGTTGTTATATGTTTCAGTAGTTTGTTCCTTTTAATGCTGAGTATGCCATTGTACAATTATTTCAAACTTAGGCCTATTTCCCTACTGATAGACATTTGGATTGCTTTCCACTTGAGACCATTATGAATAGTTACTATACATAAATGTATACCACTCCCTTTGTGGACCTATACATTCAATATTCTTGGGTAAAATCTTAGGAATGGAATGGAAGGACCATCAACTCAATGTTTAATTATCAGTTTCTGAAGTAATTGTTTCAATTTATATTCCCATCTAAAATAGCTGGTTTTTTTTTCAATACAGCAATTTCCATTTAAAAAGAAAGAAAAAGAAAAGAAAAGAAAGGTTGATCTTAACCAAAAATAAACGGTCGTGAATAAAGAGCTTCCTAGATTGTTTAGAAGAGTTGAGAAAGCCAGTCTACAAGGCGCAGGGCAGCTCCTCCAGGCAAATATTTTGATTTTGATCATTGGTTTAGAAATGGTTTTAGCCGCTCCAATCAAAGGTTTCCACGAAGACAAGTCAAGCAGTGTCCCAAATCTCAAGGGGAGAAGAATTTACATAAAGCCTCCTTCAGATGAGCTTTTCACTCTGCTGAATGGAAGACCTAATGGGGGAAGAGTCTTCCCACATGGTGCACCTGTTTACCAGGCCAGCCCAGCCCAGCACTGTGATACGTGAAGCATCTTGATGCCGAATACAGCTCACCCCAGGTCCTGGTTTGACTTTGTGTTTCCCCTGAGTCCTGCTTCAGATAAACAGATCGGGGAACCTGATTAATTATGCACTCTGGGGCATCGAGCTGTGACAGGCATCAGGCTCTGCACACAGCCCCAGTAGCCAGTCTCCAGCTCACAGCACGGAAGTGGCTAAGTCCTTTCTGTTTCTGAGACATCCTGACACTGTGCTATTAGTTTTGTTGGCTGAATGGGGCTCAGTGGGAGAAAATGAAGACGTGAAGACCATAAAGGCCAGCTCTCTACTCCAATCTCACTGACTTCAGGAGATGCTCACAGATGCTCAATGCAATCTTTTTTCTAATCGGAAAATTCAAAATTGGCAACAACGTAGTGGGTCATTGGGAAAGTCATGATGCATTTTTACATAGAAAAATACATTACAGGGACCAGCAGATGGCATAACGGTTACGTACTGGACTTCCACACGGCCATCCACAGTTCAAGTCCTGGACCTGGGGCTTCAAACTCCCACTGCACACACATGCATGTGTACCCAGAATCCTGAGAATGGAGGTGAAGGGACTGTGGTCATTCCTCCTGGGGGGTGATTTCTCGCTTTCTGTCTCTCTGTCTCTCCTGCAAGTGCACACACCCTACAGTAAAAAGCCCTCAAAAAAAAAAAAAAGAGAGAGAGAGAGAGAAAGAAAAAAATACTTTTGACTTTCCCTATGACCTAACAAATGTCTAAAAGTAGGAATAGTTAAATAAAAACTCCTCTCCTTCCTGCAGATGGCTGGACTCAGTATTTAAGAGCAAAGAAGTTACAGTGGATCCTCAGAAAGAATCCTCAAGCAGCAATGCATGGAGCACAGGACAGCCAAAAAAAAAAAAAAAAAACCAGATCCAGAGGGCTCCAAATCCACCAGTGTGATTATTTCCAGACCACTCAGGAAAGGGTTGGGGTTTGATCCTTGACAGATGCATTTTCTTATGACATTTATTATTGTAAGTGACCTAGCTCCCAAGGGGAAAAAATAAGGAACTTCATGTTCTGAGTGCCGACCATTGTACAAGGCATTGAACAGCGTGCTGGGTCAAGTGCTCACCAAACATTAACCACTTCATCCCCACAACAGTTCAGTGAAACAGGTGCCATTATCCTCAAAGGCAAGCTCTGCCACAGGGAAACTGAAAAACTTTCAGAAGTCCAGATTTAAGCCCATGTCTCCTTATTCTTTGCTCTAGATGTCACTGACAGCAAATAAAGTTTAAACGTTTCTAAATGGGTAGCTGCTACCCTAAGCCACAGGCAAGCACACCATGCTGGAGCAGAGAGAAGAACTTGAAAAGAAAAACACATTTTTCCCCCTTGGGTTCTCTTCCTAAGCTGATGAAAGAGCTCTCCACTGCTCAGTTTCAGCTTGTTTTCCTATGAAAAGGGTTTAAGAGAAAGCCTTTTCCCCAAGAGCCTTACCTTCCTAAGCCCTGCTGCCCACAGTAACCAGTCTTGAGCTTTACGGCAATGAGGAGTTTTCCTGCCTTGCCTCCCATAAACCAGGGAGGATGGCTTTGCTGCTATCTAACTCGATTTTCTAAAGTAAAGGAAAGCAATCATGTCTTCTTCATTCACTGTCTTATTTAGAGAGGTTTTCCCTCACTGGAGTTACAGGGTCTTAATAAGCCACACGAATTACGTATTGTTTCTATTACTGTCTATGGAGTGTTTGGGGATCTTCCTGATAACGGTGGGTTAGAGCACACTCGACCGCTTTGCCCTTATTAAACTGTGAAAGTCACCTCTCTTCCAAGGTCTGTAATCAGCGAGCCCTCACTTCTTTTCTACAAATTTGTCTCTTCCTGAGTCTTTTGCAATTATAGCTCATTTCTTTAGGTTTCATATGGCAGGCGTCTGAACAGAATTAAAGCATAAGCACGTGCAAAAATAATCCGCTTCCCAAGATAGTAAATGCTGAGAAGTTCTATATTAGAACACACTGGCAGTGCTGACTGGCTCGGGCATGATTAACCTAATAGGCTTAAAGCTCCACTTGCCATCCACATCTGTCAGGGCAGGAGCAAAACACAAGTCCATAATCCACAAGACTGGGGTCCTCTAGAATTGTCCCGCTGCTCACTAACAGCAGACGGTACAAACTTCGAACGACAGCAGGACAACAGGCACCGCTCCCTCTTCCTGGGAGAGCCCAGGAAGTAGAGACACTGGTTTCAAGTTTGGGACATGGACCATGGACTTCAAAGGATTCTGGTGCAGATCTTGCCTGGATGAACTTGTAAGACTACCTTTTATTCCTATGTCAGATAAGACGCTCTGAAAATTGTGAAGGTTGTGGGCGGACGATGACTACCCTCTGAAATCATGGGGTGTACACCTTCGCACAGTGACATCGTAAACAGCGTTGCAAAGAATGGCATTCCGTTTTTGAAAAAACCGAAAGCAATTTTGCCAGGATATCAGGGGAGCGGTGAAAGAGGCTCCATCCCTTCGCTGGTGAAAAGCTCTACCTGCTATGACTCTGGTGGGAGCCTGCCCCCGGGATGGAGACCGGCAGAAGAGCGGCCAAGCGCCAGGAGGATTCAAACTACAACTGAAAGTCTTTGCCAGCTCATGGGAGATGCCACTTCAGGCCAACGGAAAGACATGGAAGGATTGATCCCAGAAACCAGAACCTCTCCATGCCAGTTGCACAAATCACAAAGCCACTTGGCTAAGGACATTCTGTTCAAGACACAGGGCTCCCTTGGATCCCAAGGAGCAGCCTTTTCTGTGGAAGAGAGTGAGGGAAGTGCTACCCAAGAGACCTCGAACTGGGAAAGGAACCCAAAATGCCACCGGTCAGGCACACAGGGCCCTTGTTGCCAGACCATCCTCTCCGGTCATGGGTCTGAAGACAAGGTGGACTTCCCTGAGCCCCTGGTAAAAGCCCACCAGCACGCTTATGCCTATCTGCACTCCAGCCTCTCCAAATACGAAGCAATTCTGTCCCTCATCCATCAGGCCACCCAGACCCGGGAGCTGCTGCAGCCCATGGTCAGCTTCCTGCTGCTGTGCTTCGAGGAGGTTAGCCAGCTGTTGGGGGAGATCTCCAAGGATGGAGAAGAGCTCCTCCAAGAAGTCAGGGAGGATCTGGCCTGGCCACTGACGAAAGGCGCACCCCACGAGCAGCCAGATCTCTTGCAACAGCTGCTGCAGTACACCGTCTGCAAGCTGCAGGTGCTCAACGGCACGGTGGCTTCACTCACCGGCAGCTTCCTGGAGGGCTCCAGCAGCTACCTCCACTCCACTGCTAGCCACCTTGAAG